TTTGATACAACACGTGTTCTATAATACAACACGTGATATATTATACAAGCACACGTTATAGTATTTGATACAACACGTGTTCTATAATACAACACGTGATATATTATACAAGCACACGATATAGTATTTGATACAACACGTGTTCTATAATACAACAAGTGATATATTATACAAGCACACGTTATAGTATTTGATACAACACGTGTACTATAATACAACACGTGATATATTATAAAAGCACAAGATAGAGTATTTGATACAACACGTGTACTATAATACAACACGTGATATATTATACAAGCACGCGTTATAGTATTTGATACAACGCGTGTTCTATAATACAACAAGTGAAATATTATACAAGCACACGTTATGGAATTTGATACAGCACGTGTTTTATAATACAACACGTGTTAGATTATACAAGCACACGTTATGGTATTTGATACAACACGTTCGTCAAGCTACATCTTTATTTTGGTAATGTTCCTTTCCCCTTGTGTAAATACCGAACGTATGGCAATATTTATTTATCCTAATGCAAACACCAAACTTATTGGAGAATTCAGTCAAGGAGTCATCTCTTTTTTTTTTTTGAATCAAATACCAAACTTATTTTAAACATTTGATTAAGTGAGGGAAAGCAGCATGATTCGTGTAACTAATGGAACAGTCAGTTATGGTCACGTGATAGAGGCGTCCATTGGCAATGGGGCAAAATCATGAGTCGGGTATAGTGTTATCACACTGAACAGCCTCACCATAGTCATGGGATTTTTACTTCTCTCCCAAACTGGTGTTGAAAACAGACCATTCAGATTTGGCTAAGCTATGTAAAGAACAATGTCTATGCATGCTTATTAATGCGAGAATAAAGAAGTCATGTTTTGTAACTGAGCAGAAATATACAAGACCAAGTGCTGTGAGGATGGCATGACGTAATTCATGTGCTGTAGTAATGAGACAGAACACAGATAACATGTTTTCTGATTGACGGACAAGATAGATAGCATATTTTCTGATAGGGGCAACAAGTCCATATTGATCACGTTTATGTTACCAATTTAGAGGTATGGCTAAGTGTTCCCGACTCTGCACGTGCCTCACACATTACTCTCCGTGATAACATGTGCGTACACAGCTAGCCAAGTCTACTATAATAGAAACCTGGAGAACCGTTTTTTGGACTGAAGCCAGTGACAGCTTTATCCTGGTACATATATTTACCTATATCGAACAGATTAATAGAATCTTCCCCTACCTTGAGGGTGTGACAGAGAAATCTCCAACCCTCGGGGTGATGTTTTTTCGGCTCTGCCGAGGGTAAGACAACCAAAAAACATCACCCCGAGGGTTGGAGATTTCTCTGTTACACCCTCAAGGTAGGGGATGATTTTTTTCTCCCATCCTATTATTTCAGTCACAACTCTACCGACAGTAGTGTAAACAGAAACAAATGTGGGGTATCAATATCGTCTTTCACTTTTGATGACCGATTTAGTAAAGTATATCTCAACGTGAGATCCTGTTTGCAAAAGGATACAGCTTAACCAAGCCCTGGTTCTGATTTGAATATCACATACTGCACCCATCCCGAATGTCGTCCAGCATTTGCCTCCTTTGCCAACTGTTTATTATATAGCTGCACTGTAATAACAGGAAACAATTCGGAAATAATTCACATCGCGAGGAATGTGTGTCGTTAACTTCTGTCAAATACTGACATTTTATCTATTTCTTTCACTTTTGATGACGTCATAATTACCGGTGACGCATTTTAATGACGTCACAATTGAACACGTGCTAATCAGCACGAGGCTATCTCTCCCTAGGGGGTGATACGCTGATCTTTACCGGCTAAAACAGGAGACACACATGTGAAGGATGGGAGAAAAATCAGTCACATTCCAACTGGGCATATCAAATATTTCAATGACATTTGTATATGGGTCCAATCCTCTCAGAAGTGTTGACTGATATATCGTCTTTGAAAAAAGCACGGTTCAAATTGACTCCTCAAAATTCTGTTTATACACCATGGTGCTTCGTTTGTAAGCCTGTCTCGTGCATCACGCTAGCAGTGTACGTATATCTGATAGCATGCACTGACAGTTGTGTGCATGTTTATAATTATTAGAATTATTTTCATAACAAAGAACAAACGAAACGCAACAAGTGCTAACAAATGCGCCCTGCACCGAAAACACACTTATCTATACTAAAGAAAACGGTTGAAAGAAAATGTTTCTTTCTGCCAGAATTTTGTTGCTTATATCATAAAAACATTACCAAAATAAACATGAGAATGATAGAATGATTAAGAGAACTCTTTAATGTATCAAGCATTCCAATCTGTATTTGTGTTCTACGTGAAATATTCCAGATGTTAGCCTGAAGTTCTGCTCTTTTCTAACAACTATATATTGTACACTGTACTTTAAAAACACGTTATTACACAAACAAACGCGTAATAACGCGAACAAACAAGTTATAGCATAAAATAAATACGTAATAACGCCAGAGAGAGAGAAATAACGCTAAATAAATACGTAATAATGTGAAATGAATAGTTGATAAGGCATCATAACGTGTTTTTTGTTTTCGCGTTATTACAACCTTCCCGTATTTGTTAGTTATCCTAATGTTTTCATAGAGGTATGATAATAACGATTAGTACAGCGTTGCATATAGAAAAAAAAGAAAAAAAAAATCTGAACTCCAAGCTAATATATACAAAGCTCATAACGTAACTGGACTTATAATGATAACACTAGAGGGACATCATGGAATCACAAAATAAAACCGGGGGAGAAGCAGGTGTTTCTGAAGGTTAAACCCGCCATTCACGTACAATTTAGCTGGTATGTCTATGTTAACAATATTACAGTCACTGTTGTCATCACTAAATCATACATGTGTTGGTTATAGATGGTATCTTTATAATTGGAAGTCTGCTTTCTAAATCAAAACAGGGCATTGTCTTTTTAGTCTTATTTATCATTGTTCTTTGCGATAAAGTTCAAACTGAGAATATGACTATGTAACCAGTCCTGATAAACTCCTTAAGGCAGAGAACAATTATAGACAGGTTGTACCTAAAACAGGTGATACTTGTAGACAGGTGATAGCTAAAAAAGGTGATACTTATAGACAGGTTGTACCTAAAACAGATGCTACTTGTAGACAGGTGATAATTAAAGACAGATAATAGTCATAGACAGGTGATAGCTAAAACAGGTGATACTTATAGACAGGTGATAGCTAAAACAGCTGATACTTATAGACAGGTGATAGCTAAAACAGGTGATACTCATAGACAGGTGATAGCTCAAACAGGTGATACTTATAGACAGGTGATAGCTAAAACAGGTGATACTTTTAGACAGGTGATAGCTCAAACAGGTGATACTTATAGACAGGTGATAGCTAAAACAGCTGATACTTATAGACAGTTGGTTGTTAGAGACCGGCAGTAGTTATAAACAGATGTAAGTTTTAGGCAGGTGATCATCATAGACAGGTTGTTGTTATAGACAACTAAAAGTTATATACAGGTGGTGGTTATAGACCGATAGTATTTATAGAAAGGTGATAATTGCTTTATAGAAAATGTATAGAAACATAATAATAACAAAATTGGATTAATTGATGTATATGCTTATTGTATATATATGTACTGTAAAGCGCTTTAGAGTGGCTTATGTTAGCTAGATAGGGCGCTATATCAAATATCAAATGTATATATTATTATAATTAAAGACAGGTGAAAAATATATACAGACAGGTGGTAGTTACAGACAGATCAAAGTTAAAGACAGACGGATAGTTAACGACAGGTCATATAAAGACAGGTGGTAGTTAACGACAGGTTATGTGAAGACAGGTGGTAGTTAACGAGTTGTAAATAACAGACATGTATTATTTAACGACGTTTATATCGGACAGGTGGTAGCTAGGTATCGACAGGTTATGTGAAGACAGGTGGGAGTTAACGACATTTATTTTTATACAGGTAGGTATTAGTCACATATTTGTATAAACTCGCATTACCTGTAGACAGTTGTAATTCTATTTATAATACAGTTACGCTATCAAGCCAGCATGATTACATTGACAAATTAGGTTTCAGGCATGAGTTGTAATGTAATACAGTCATATATTTGCTATATATCTCTATGCAGATTATCTTATACATAGTCTTGTAAATTTTAAGGAATCGTGTTGACGCCTAAGGGGATTCTATCACTAGGAAATACAACCGTCATTTTTAGTATATTTTATTTACGCTGACAATTTTCCGTGAAGACTTTCTCAGGTTTAAACCCCTAATAACTATACTGATTTTTACATCAATGTCTGTATTTGCAAAGTTTTTTGTACACTGTAATTTCAAGTTGAAACGCGGTAATTTAATTCATTACTAAGTCCGAATTAATAAAATTAAATTGTGTTACAATGTCTTCGTTTCAAAACGGACTCAACACATTATCCACGATAAGATATATTTGTTCTATAGACCAGACAATGCCTCCTCCTCCTTCTCCTCATTTTTGTCATTGCTGTCGTCAAAGTCTTCTTCTTCTCTTTGTGTCACAGTGTCTTTCTTTTGTTTTGGTTTCTGAAGCTGCTTTCTTTTCTCCTCTTTGAGCTTCAATTGTGTGTCCATATGTATGATACTATGTCGGTAGTTTCAAGTTGATTGTTTTAATTAACGCAAAACCGGAGAGACATAATGTGTAATAATATAGTATCCGATTTAGTATAGAATATCTCAACGTGAGATCCTGTTTGCAAAAGGATACAGCTTAACCAAGCCCTGGTTCTGATTTGAATATCACATACTGCACCCATCCCGAATGTCGTCCAGCATTTGCCTCATTTGCCAACTGTTTATTATATTCCGTCTTTGTGTATTGCAGAGTTATCTTCTCTTGGGAGCAGGTTTTGATTGTTTCGTCACTTGTTTGTGAGAGTAACGTCATCAATTTTTGAGAAAACGACGTAATTTTCTCACACAAACCTATGACGTAACAATCAATACCTGCTCTCAAGAGAGGATAACTCTCGATACGCAAAGACGGAATAGCTGCACTGTGATAACAGGAAATAATTCGGAAATAATTCACATCGCGAGGAATGTGCGTCGTTAACTTCTGTCATATGTTGACATTCTATCTATTTCTATAATTTTCAATTTCCTGGTAAACGTGATATTTATCAATTTGAAGTCTATGTTTTCATCAATTTGCTCCTTACTTTATGGATATATTGCGTGTAAGTATTTCAGTAACATGCAAACGTTCTGCATTATTGAGTTATTTGCATATTGTTTCAGAGAAATCCATGGACTAAATGATCTGTTGAGATAAGATAGTTCACTGACTGTTTACTGTGTTCTAACACATGTACATGATGTTATGTTTCGATTGTATAACATTCAAAACATGAATATATCATTCAATTAGTATAGAAATTCTGTTGAACTGTTTATGTCGTAACTATAATACGTACATATTAGATCATCGTGTGTTTGTCTACCCCACGATTTAGTGGGCGTAAACAATGTTGTAACAACGTCTGCCTTTTGCTACATTTCTGACATGAACATAATTTTATTTATATTATTCATATTATTATTTATTTCCATACAAGGACACAGTCTTTTCCCGCCCTTCCCAGTATCAAGGGATACTATGACGATAAGTATTAAGGCAATACTTTTATAATTGTTGCTTTATAAAAAAAAATATTCATGCTATCTATATTACCATTTAAATACCGTGTGGTATTTACCCTAAGTCACACGACATATTTGCTGTTGTTTTATTTTCCTGTTGGAGGTTTAGTAGCATATAGATTACCTCAAGTTGGTGGACAGTGTTTTTAATGTTGCAGTTGCTGAGATCTTATAACCTTGAAAACTAAGGTAAAATATACAAAACAGAGCGACAAAATATATTTATAGCACAGACGAGGACAACATTTGTCCCTAGCTTTAATATAAAATTGTCAAACATATCTTATTGCCATCCCAACAGAGCAAATTATACCACAGCGCCATAACTCAATTACACACTATACATCTAACACACATCTAGCATACTTCAACGGTCAAGGGCAAGGTATATCACAGCGTCATAATATAAAGACAGCTTATATTTACAGCGCAGTGTCACAACGAGGACAATATACAAGGGATAAACCCCAACGGGCAAGGGCAAGGTATATCACAGCGCCATAATATAAAGACAGCTTATATCTACAGCGCAGCGTCACAACGAGGACAATATACGAGTGATAAACCCCAACGGTCAAGGGAAAGGTATATCACAGCGTCATAATGTATATACAACTTATATCTACAGCGCAGTGTCACAACGAGGACAATATAGAAGTGATAAACCCCAACGGTCAAGGCCAAGGTATATCACAGCGTCATAATATATATACAGCTTATATCTACAGCGCAGTGTCACAAGGAGGACAATATACAAGTGATAAACCCCAACGGTCAAGGCCAAGGTATATCACAGCGTCATAATATATATACAGCTTATCTCTACAGCGCAGTGTCACAACGAGGACAATATAGAAGTGATAAACCCCAACGGTCAAGGGCAAGGTATACCACAGCGTCATAATATATATACAACTTTATCTACAGCGCAGTGTCACAACGAGGACAATAGACAAGTGATAAACCCCAACGGTCAAGGGCAAGGAATATCACAGCGTCATAATATATATACAACTTATAGCTACAGCGCAGTGTCACAACGAGGACAATATAGACGTGATAAACCCCAACGGTCAAGGGCAAGGTATACCACAGCGTCATAATATATATACAACTTTATCTACAGCGCAGTGTCACAACGAGGACAATATAGAAGTGATAAACCCCAACGGTCAAGGCAAGGTATATCACAGCGTCATAATATAAATGCAACTTATATCTACAGCGCAGTGTCACAACGAGGACAATATAGAAGTGATAAACCCCAACGGTCAAGGGCAAGGTATATCACAGCGTCATAATATATATACAACTTATATCTACAGCGCAGTGTCACAACGAGGACAATATACAAGTGATAAACCCCAGCGGTCAAGGCAAGGTATATCACAGCGTCATAATATATTTACAACTTATATCTACAGCGCAGTGTCACAACGAGGGCAATATACAAGTGATAAACCACAACGGTGACGCTGTGGTATTTATTTTTGTGTTGACGCTGTGGTATATATGTTTGTGCTGACGCTGGGGTATATATGTTTGTGCTGACGCTGGGGTATATATTTTTGTGTTGACGCTGGGGTATATATTTTTGTGTCTACGCTGTGGTATATGTTTGTGCTGACGCTGTGGGATATATTTTTGTGTTGACGCTGTGGTATATATGTTTGTGTTGACGCTGTGGTATATATGTTTGTGCTGATGCTGTGGGATATATTTTTGTGTTGCCGCTTTGGTATATATGTTTGTGCTGACGCTTGGGTATATATTTTTGTGTTGACGCTGTGGGATATATTTTTGTGGTGACGCTGTGGGATATATTTTTGTGTTGCCGCTTTGGTATATATTTTCGTGTTGATGCTGTGTTATCTATTTTTGTGTTGCAGCTTTGGTATATATGTTTATGTTGATGCTGTGGTATATTTTTGCGTTGACCCTTTGGTATATTTTTTTTTTGTTTGACACTGTGGTATATATTTTTGTATTGACAATTAGGTATTTTTGTGTTGATGCTGTGGTATATATTTTTGTGTTGACGCTGTGGTATAAAAAATTGTGTTTATTCACGGTCATTTCACCAAACTGGTTAGCCAGACACGGCGATATCCAACGTACCACTTCCTACTGAAAACCATTCCGTTCCCTAAGTACGTTGCAATGGTTGTTCCTGTGTTCTCTTCATTAATAACTCGTAAACATTGTCAGCAACCGAGAATAGTTCGGTTTGAAGAAACATTGACCGATGCCAATAATAGACAACCAAATGTTCTGAAGATGTATTTCCCACAAAACCGTTTATGCATCTCCCTATCTAACATCTCCTTCGTTTCCCCGCAATGGACTTATAACGCTGTCACAAATGTAAGCTTTTCACTACTATTTTCATATTGTATTATTATTTATATGGAAGCATTTACCCAGAACAAGGGGTTGAAACTCAAGACATGACGTCATAAATCATTATTTCATTTTCTGCTAAAACTTAATACTGCAATCTTTAGTTCATTCCACAACCGTACATCTCGTAGTCGCCGTTTTTAAGGCTTTATTTATATGACTGAGGGATAGCTCTGAAAGTTTGGATTTACCACTTTTTGAGTCTATTTGAATTAAGATAAAATAGTATCAATTACATATATACATCAAACAAATCATTGTGTATTCGGATTTTGTGTAATTTCAAACGTTAATCATGAAGGCGTTCCGAACGAGTGTAGGGTGACTATGATCCGAAGCGCTTCTCATTTTCGGGTTGAACCATCAACGGGATTTGCTGGATCACTCACTTTTCTGTCTTGCCATTTTCATGAATTTCGTCATCATTGGCTCAGTTTGGAAGGGATATAAAGCTTTACTTATTTTTCGTGGGAACATGTCAGGACAAAATCGAAGGAACCTTTTTGATTTGTTTCAGGTAAGAAGACTCACCAATCGCTAGACTAAAACTTAACCTTTAAAGATTACAGAGGAGCGATACTCAACTTCAAAGATGGTCAATTTTTACCGTTAATCTTCTGCACGATTCTGTTCATGTTCATGAAAGGATCAAACTAGTTTACTGCTATCATTCACAAGGCGCACAAAGCCTTTTGTCATGGCATATGATAGGGGTGAAACGACCGGACGGGGATGTAACTGGAAAGCACAGGATATCCTGGTATACATGTTGTAAGTCATAACGGAATCGAAGGTTCTGTACACGCCCCATCATAAATCAAGGTTAAAATTCACAGATAAGCTACGTCATCGACAGGAAATATAACATACACCCTAAACTTCATTACAATATCGCAACACTGGTATCGCATCATCTGTCAGTAATCATGTGTTCCATGGTGTCTTTATAATGGAAATTCGTCGGGGAGCGACAAGTTCATTTTGAGTATGACTACCATTATCATTATTATTTCATTACCGCCGAGGCAATTAATGCGTCCTCTTACAATTAGCCAGCACCTCTCTGGAGAATCTGTTGTAACTGTCGATTTATATGTACATGTGATTTCCCTTTGTTTTGGTGTCTCTACAGTTCCTAACCTTCTCTCTCCTTCTGTTTTAGCGTCTCCACAATATTAAGTGTTGCCATTCCTTGTATTTCAGTGTCTCCTTCATTCATTGTTGTTGTATATCCTCTTTGTTTAAGAGTCTCTGCTACTACTGTCGTTGACTTTTCCTTTTTGTTTAAGTGTCTCCGCAAATTCTGTTGCTGGCTTTCCTTTTTGTTCAAACGTGTCTACAGTTCCAGTGGTTGCTGTTTTTTCTTTTTGTATAAGTGTCTCGAAAATTCCTGTTGTTGTCATTTCTTTTTGTAAAAGTGTCTCCACAGTTCCTGCTGTTGTCTTTCCTTTTTCTGCAAGTGTCTCCACACTTCCTGTCGTTGCCATTTCCTTTGTTCAAGTGTCTCCACGTTTATTTATTTTTTTGGT